TTTTTTCAGTGCTGGGGATTGAACCTAGGGCCTCGTGTATCCTCATCGAGCCCTCAGCCCCTGAGCTACACCTCCACTTTGGTTGTTGTTGTTTTGAGACAGAGCCTCGTCCTATAGTCCAGCTGGACTCAGATTTACAATTCTCCTGCCTCAGCTTCCCAAGAACTGGGATTACAGACGTGTGCCACCATGGCCAGCTTCCAGCCCCGCATTCTTGATAGCACCCTTTGAAGTCCAAGCTATTTCCATGCAGGATTTTCCAGAGACGGGTTACCTTGTTCAAAGGTGATCATAAGTGCAAAATCTTCTAAATGGCCTGAGTGTCCCGTAGCTGGGAGGAATTACCAGCCCACATGGAGACAGAACCCCAGGGTGCAGCTAGTTAGAGGAGAAGGCCCCTTGGGCTGGAGCCCTCTTCTCTGCCCACAGGCAGCTCTTAAATGGCAGCACCCTGCTCCCACCCCAGGGCGCTGCAGTTGGTGGGAAACAGGATGCAGCTTCTCTTTGGCATCACACCAGTGGAGAAAGACCCATATGTCCTTATCCAGGCCCTGCTGTTCTCTGCCTTATGACAGCCATCCCTGAGCAGGATCTAAACTTCCTTGACTCTTTCCTTTAGCAAGTTTGTTACCATTTGATTTAACTTTCTCTAACGGCCACCAGCCCAACTTTTTTCTTCCTTTTAGACAAGGTCTCACTGTGTACGTAGTTCAGGCTGGCCTTGAACTCGTAGCAATCCTGCCTCAGCCTACTGAGTGCTGGGATAACAGGTGTGCGCCACCACACACGGCCAGCCCAGTTTTAATTCAGCAGCAGAAACATGTGCTCAGAATTCTCAGAAAAGCCCCCAGCGATGAAGAAATGACTGACAAGCTGCCTCTATCCTCACATTAGTAAGATGAGGAACAGCCCTGGACACGGAAACTGCCGGTGAGATCGCGGCGGGGGCACTTACGCTCAGGGCGTGGCTCCGCAGGTGCTCCTGGCGGGTGAACCTCTTGCCGCAGGTGTCGCAGGGGTAGGGCCGCTCGCCCGTGTGGGAGCGGATGTGGCGCTTGAGGATGCCCTTCTGTTTGGCAGTGTACGGGCAGAAAGGACACTTGTGGAGCTTGATGGGCACCACCAGCACGTCACCTGAAGAACCAATGCACTGATTCAGCTGCACTGTAAACGATGACATCCCCAGCCGCCCGCTGATGGAGGGGATCTGGAGCTGGGGGACTCCACCAGCCAGATAGACAGGGAAGACACCAGCCCCACCACCGGCCAACCCCAAGACGCTGTCTGCAGTCACAGCGCCGTCTTACTCCCGGTCAGCCAGACGGTAAAGTGGGCTTCTGATATCAGTTTATAGAGAGCAACAAGAGGTACCAGCTGTCACATTTCTCTGAGTGTGGTCACAGTCTGAAATACAGCTTACATTACAACCACAGAACACACATGCTATCGTGTGGATAGCTGGAAAAGCTTCCCAAAACAATACTCTCTCTGGGAATGTCTTCTCCGTTTGATTTCATTACAAAATGAGAAGTGAGCTGAACATGGTGGCACACACCTGTAATCCCAGCACTCGGGAGGCTGAGGCAGGAGGATTGTTGGGAGTTGGAGACCAGCCTGGGCCACAAAGTGAGCTCAAGACCAGCCTGAACTGCATAGCGAGACCCTGTCTCAAAAAGACAAAAAACAAAACAACAAAAACAAAATGAGTTCAAGGCCAGCTTGAACTACATAGCGAGACCCTGGCTCAAAAACAGAAAAAGAGGGAGAGAGATGAGACCTTGTTAGGAACTGAACTGTCACCACAGAATTTATGCCTTAAAGCCCTAACTCCTTTTCTTGGGGGGGGGGTTCCTTTTTGAGACAAGGTCTAGCTATGCAGTTCAGGTTGACCCTGAACTCACTTTGTAGTCCAGGCTGGTCTCGAACTCGCAGCAATCCTCCTGCCTTAGCCTCCCAAGTGCTGGGGTTACAGGTGTGCACCAACACACCTGGCAAAGCCCTAACTTTTAATGTGATTGTACTTACAGACACAGCCTTTAAAGAAGTAACAAAGGTTAAATGAAGTCACAAGGATGAGGTTCTCTGTACTGCTAGGATTGGGGGGCATATAAGAAAAGGCACCAGAGCTTGACTGATATCTATTTCTCTCCCCCAACCCCTTCTCCCACCTACCCATAAGGCTCACATAGAGGAAAGGCTTTGTGAGATACAACAAGCAGGTGGCTTTATGCAAACCAGAAGTAGAAAACTCACCAAAAAACAACACTGCCTGCATCTTGATCTGTTATACTCCGTTACAGCAGCCTGAGATGACTAATTTATTTTTTTAAATTTCTTTCTTTTTTTTTTTGGTCTTTTTGAGACAGGGTCTCACTATGCAGTTCAGCTTGAGTGCCCTTGAGCTCACTTTGTAGCCCAGGCTGGTCTTGAACTTGCAATGATCTTTCTGCCTCTGCCTGGAGATAACTAATTTAGACCCTCTGAAATGATCTCATTACCTTCAAAAGTTTGAAAGACTCCTATGATTGGGTTTGACTTTTGGAACAAAATTCATGCTTTCTTAGCAGTTCCTAAGAATTTCTTCTAGGAATATATAGAAGAGATTTACTGTAATGTAGACCTTAAATTGTTTGAAATTCATATTAACTCTATATGTCTGATTTTTCTTTCTTCTTCTTTTTTTGTTTTTGTTTTTGTTTTTTTGAGACAAGGTCTTGCTATGCAGTTCAGGCTGGTCTTGAGCTCACTTTGTAGCCCAAGCTGGTCTCAAACTCATAACAATCCTCCTGCCTCAGCCTCCCGAGTGCTGGGATTACAGGCATGTGCCACCACGCCCTTCCTTTTTTTTTTTTTCCCCCCAGGCTGGCCTCAAACTCGTGGCAATCCTCCTGCATCAGCCTCCCAAGTGCTGGGATCACAAGCATGCACTACCATACCCAGCAACTCTATATCTCTGAAATCAACAAATAGTCAGGAATTCATTTTAAATCCTGTTCCAACTATTTTTCCCACCCTATTCACACAACCATTAACATTATATTATGATTATCATCTACCTGTATAAAAGCTTTCAAGTTTTTTGAGTTACACCTTGTAGTGGATTGATAACTGGTGGTCAACTTATAACCCCCAGCTGAACTGAGTAAGTGTGGTGCTGGGTGTGGGAGGCCC